ATCTTTCTTTTTTTTTTTTTTTTTTAAATTTTTTGGCCAAATTTCAGTTTTTTTTTTTTTTTTTTTTTTTTTTTTTTGGTACTTTTTAGTTTTATTCTTACTTCTTTTATCTTATTTTTCAGTAGCTGTTGCTCGAACAGCTCTGATTTGTGTGCAGAGGCTCAGATGCATCTGTCAGGATGAGACGCTGGCCGGATCAGTGACAGTGTGTAAAGGGGGAGACAGGTTGTGATGAACTCTGCATGTGGCTGTTGCTTGATATGAGGACCCAGACGCTTCCCCTGTCACTCACCTGTCTAACAATAGAAACACGGGCCTGTCGCAGACGTTGACGCGTCACAACTGATATACGTATAATGAGCTGACAAAAGCCCTTGTGGCCTTTACCCAGATGCAATGCTTGTCCCGTCCTCTGTTGTTGTTGTTGTTGTTGTTGTTGTTGTTTTGGTTTGTTTGTGTTTTTTGTTGTGGCATTAATTTACATTTTGAAGCGGACTGTGAAGTCGGGCGCTGCGTGTAGCGGGGTCAGAAAGTTAATCCAAGCCAAAGCCGTGCGAGCAAAAGCAGTCTTTGCACTTTTGTTTTACCAATGCGGACAGTCGAGGAAAAAAAAAAAAAAAAAAAAAAAAAAAAAAAAAAAACACATCTGCAGTGGTTTCAGAGGCAGCTCACCACAGACTTCATGTAATAACAAATGCAGAGCAAATGTAGTCTTTAAGATCTGTGATCCACTGATCACTTAAATCATCTCTGCTGCCTTAAACATTGGAATATTTCTTTAGTTCTTACTGTATCATTCCTCTAAGACATTTGCTGTGTCTACAGAAATAAATCTCCTCTCTGCTGGAAGCTGCACCTACTGGGATGTTCTTTTTCACACAATATAGCCTTCTCTCCGGTCATACATCTTTCCATTTCTGAATATCAAACACCCAGCTGTGCATTTCTTCAAGGCCTTCTGACCCCCAGCTGTCTCCTTAGTTTGCATGACTGCCTCTTTAGATATAAACAGAGCCAGGTCAAAACAAGCATCCACTAGTTCAGAATGGTGGGATCAGCTCCCTGGTGACACGGGTACCTCCAAACTGGTCATGCATTTCAAAATACACGGCTGCCGTTGCCACGGGTTGGAAGCTGGTGAGGCATCTTGCACACTTGCCCGCTTCTGCGACTCCTTTTTTGGCACGGAACGCTGCACAGAGAGGTTATGATCTGAAGGAAGGCACTCCATAATCCCTTATAGTTGAAGCCGTGCAGGACCTTCATTTCCAAATGAAACACAAAATTCATTCTTTTTTTTTTCTTCTTCGCTTTCATCTTAAAAGAGAACTTTTTCCTCTGTACTTTAAATCAGATACTTATGATGTTCTCTCTGGTTCAGGAGTGGCTCAACACGTCTTATCTCTGTGTTTTTAGCAGGTTTTTCCACCCTGCACTTTTCTTCCACTCAACTTTCCATTGATATGTTTTTGATGGATCATTTTGTGAACCACAGTCTCCTTCAGCAGATACTTCCGTCAGCCAGAAAGTTTAAATCTCGGGCACGTGTCGTTAAATTGAGCAGCGACACTGCTTGCCAAATTAGAGAAATGTAGTTACGCAGTGGCTCAAGGACATCAAAGTCAATATTTTGGATTGGCTGTCATTAAGCCATGATGTCAGTCCCATGGAAAATTGGCAGGCACAGATGAAAAGGTGTGTTTGAACGAGACAGCCTTCAAAGCTGACTCAGTTACAACAGCTATGTCTGGAGGAATGGGGCAACATTTCAACAAACTAATTATCTGTTTTTCTTTTTTTTTTCTGTTAAAGGAAGAGGATCTTTTTGTAAACAAGTTTACAGGAAATCTGTTGATTAGTATCCAGATTCCAGGTTTGATGGATCCATTCGAGATTTTTCTTATACCATGTCCATGTTTTCTATTCTAAAAGGGAAAAGGTTTTGAATATTTATAGATTCTTGGTGAGAAGTGAAGGAGATGTAATTAAAAAAAAAACTAAATGTTTAAACCAGTTAATTAAACTATATAGTGAGGAGGAAAAAAAGGATTTTCCTCCCAGCTTTTTTTTTTTTTCCCATGCTGCTCATCTTTATGCCGCACGTCTTAAAAAATGCCTAGCGGGGATCTTTAACTTAGAATCTAGTCACTAAAGCTTATAAGTGATGGACAACTAAGTTAAAATGAATATGCAAAAAGGCTTCTTGCTGTCAAGGATGGCCTTACAAATTAAGTTAATGCCATGCTCAGCTAAAGATGGATTAATATTTATTTCCTTTCCCTCAGACTCGTGCGCCCTCAGAAGTCTGTCTCGCTCGCCAACACATCCAGAAACCTGCCACAAGAATGGCTCCGGCTGATTTTAAACATAGAAAACATTTCAGTTTAAATCTCCCTCTGCCGGTTACTCGCTACCACCGGCAATTTGCAGCAACATTTAGTGACCTTTTAGTTCTCCATCAAGCCCGCTGCGCCCCGAGGTTGTCTGGCACAATCGTCATATCTGCTCAGTCTTGGTCTTCATCCTCTGTTTTTCGAGGCCTCGTCAGACAACACGAGAAGGCAGAGTCTTCTCCATTAGAGCCGCTATACCGTGGAGAAGCTTGTGTAGGCGTGAGATATGAAGGAGAGTCGGTTCTTAAAGCTTACATTTGAAGGTTGTTTTGCGAGTTAAACAACACGGCGGTACGACTGGAGGATTTTGAGGCTGGTTTCTGACTTTAGCTATTCTTCTAAGCAGACTTTTTATTTAAGAAATCATTTCCCCCCCCTGCCACCCCCCAAAAAGATCTTTGATTGACAATATGTTTATATTCTAACTTTGCTTCAAATAGATGATTAAAAGAATCATTACTGTGTGCATGCGGTGCTGTGTGGCAGTATTATATTAGTTCACTTCTCTCTCAGCTGGCAGTCTCTTATTGTGCCCACTTTCATTTCCATTTCAATTTTCTGTTTTCTGTCTCTGGAAACTTAATCTGAATTATTCTACAAAAAGAAAAAAAAAAAAAAAAAAAAAAAAACGAAGTAAGAACTGGCTCTGCAACAGCATAAGCAATCACCCATCCAGTTTTTGTGGACAATTTTATTGTAACTATAGCCATCTGTGAACAATATCAAATTAGACAGAAAAATGATTGAAGCTTAGCATAATATATTTTCACTTTAGGCGTCGGTCAGATTCCACTCTTTCAAATGTAATTTAGCTACTTCTTCTTCATAAAATAATTCTTCCGTGTTGCAGATGTGTTCTTGTTTTGTCCCTTTGCAGAAAGCGGTCATTACTAACGTGTCGCCAGACCTGCTGTACCTGTTCAGGGTGCAGGCCGTGTGTCAGCTTGACCTGCGCAGCGACTTCAGCCAGACGCTGCTGTTCAGAGGTTCGCAGTTTAATCCCTGAAGTGCTTCACTCGCTCTGCTGGCTAGATTTGAACTTTCTTTAAGTCAAACACGTGTGATTTATTTATTTATTTATTTTTTTTAAAGCTTCTCAACTTTTCTTCTTTCTTTTCTAGCAAATACAACCAGGATCTTTGAAGGCTCTCGCATTGTGAAGACCGGGATGGTTAGTTTGGCCCGAAGACGCCTGTGCAAATTGATATTTATGTCAGAAGCTGGGATCTTAACACTGCCTCGATTGGCGAGAAATATTTGTACTTCCAGACATTGTTTAATGTGCTATTGTCTCATTCATCCAGCCACTTATTCTATCTACCCATCTGTCTATCCCTCCATCCATCCATCAATTCATCCACCCATTAAACTTTCATCCATCCGTGCACCTCCATCCATCCAAACTTTTGTCCATCCGTTCATTTCAGCTAACCATCCATCCATTCTTCTCTCCATTCCTCCATCTGTTCAAATCAAATTAGAAATGTATTTTTTTTGGTCGGGCTTTTTCTTTAACTTCTATAATTTTGTCTTGCTTTATTCACATATTCTTTTTTCTTAGTTTTAAAATGTCAACATTTCTAAATTATATATTTAGTTTGTAGCATTACCTTAGATGTCATCGTCAACTAAATGTCATTTTATAATTTAAGAGTTTTACAATTCCAGACTTTTATTTGTCTTTATCTTGTTTATATACTGATACTTTACATACCTAGCTTAATGAGTGTCCACACTGTATGCAGCAATATTTGCCATTGATACGGATTGAACATTCGTATTTATACCTTTACAATAAGCCGAATAAAAGCTGGAAAACTCTGAAATTTAGTTGTGAAAAATACGAAGGAACCCTGTAAAATGTTTGTTGATGTTTAACCACATCTGTCTTTCCCCCTTTCCTACTCAGCCCACGATATCCCCGGCTTCATCTGCAGACATGGCTCCCATCAGCTCCGGCTCGTCCACCTGGACGTCCTCTGGCATCCATTTCTCCCTCGTCTCAATGGCCACAGGGATGGGCCCCTCCTCCAGCGGCAGCCAGGCCACGGTGGCATCAGTGGTGACCAGCACCTTGCTGGCAGGCCTGGGCGTCGGTGGTGGGGTGATCTCCTCCTTGCCCAGCTCCGTTTGGCCCACGCAGACTCCTCCCGCCAGCCAGAACCCGACGCATCCGTCCACCCCACCTTCGAAGCCCAGCACCGAGCAGGCGGCGAGTCAGGGTGCCGAGAGCGAGAAGCAGGCCGAGGACAAACCGGCCACGGGCGAGGGGGAGAAGAAGGAGGAAGAGAACGGCGAGAAGGAGGAAGAAGAAGAGGAAGAAGAGCCTGAAAAAAGGAAAAAGGACAAGAATTCACCTGATAATGAGGAGAAGCGGGCCAACAGCACAGTGTCCGAAGAGCCTTTAATCCCTACCCCCGCATCCACAGCCAAAGAGAAAGGAAAGGGCAAGCCGACAGCCAGAGCCGGCGCGGAGCCTGCGAGCAGCGATGATGACCGCTTGGTAAACGAGGAGAGGAGACCCACCGAAGTAAACACGCTCTCCACTCAGGAGCCACATAATGACAGCGCTGAGATGCAGATTCCTCAGAGCTCCACCGTATCTCCAAAGAATAGAAGTGACGGAAAGGGTCAATGGCCATTTTCCGTCCACACTGGTGAGCACGTCTCTTTCTTCCAAACGCATTTGAAAGCCCCTTTAAACAGAGAGGGGTGAGAGCAAAAAAAATAAATAAATAAATAAAATAAAACCTCTTTGATCAAGTCTGCTTCTCTTGTAGCCAGCTTCGTTACAGGGAGACACTTTTCCAAAGCAGACTTCTGCAAACACTGCTAACATCTACGAAGGCCAATTTAGTAGAACAAATAACTTGACACAAGACAGTAAATACACTAGTTACCATCTCAGTCAAAAACAAAGCTCCAGGCTTTTGTGTCACTACAACAGAGAGGCCTGAAGGAAGAAGACGGCTGTCTGCCAGAGGGGTTCTGCCTCAAGGAATTCCTTTAAGCATATTTCAAAAGAGTTTGCTTCAAGGCAGAGCTTTTATGAAATTTTATCTTTTTTTTTTCTATCACAGTGTTGGAAATGATAAGTTTCTTGAATCCCCACAATGTCAGAAAGTCGATTGCATACGAGGTTTCCTCAATACTGCGATTTGCATGAGGGTACGAAACATTACTCAGAGTGAGTTTGAATCTAAAGAGGGAAAAAATAATGAGGGAAAGCAGAAGGTTGGGGTTCAAATCTTTTATTAATTAACCCCATTGTTTATTCATTTCTCAGGATGTGTGTTTATCCTCCCCGTGATGTCACAAGCATCCTGTCACAGAGTTTGTGTACATGCAGAGTTTGGACATGCTATTTATATAAACAGATAACAATAATAATTTGAGGATATTCACTTTGCTTTATTCAAGATTGTGAATTCACTCACACACAGATTTTGATCATAAAAACACAGATTGTTTTATTTTTTGTGTGGCTTTGTTGTTGTAGTCTTGCAGAGACGGTTTATAATTTTTTTTATGCTCTATATGGCCAGAGAAAACTAAAAACTCTCCAAATAATGTCAAAGTTGAAATACTTTAAAATTTTAAAAGCTTAGTTTGCCCTAATACCAGTAATAGGGACCCTTGTTCAGTCATAATAGATTAGCACTATTATGACTGCACTGTAATTATTGGACCATCAGGCAATGTCCAATAATTAAGTCATACTGGTACTTATATATTTTAATAATAAAAGTTTCTTTTTTTTTATCTATGTAAAACAACATTTCTATGTTTTTTTTTCTTTTTTTGGGGTTTATATTATAATATATGTAGATGCTTCATCCCACTCCTTGCCAAAGTTCTTCTAAATGCTGTTTTTCAACAAGATGTTGTATATTTTCTAACTAGTTCAAACATCTATTCCTTATTTATGTGTACGTGTGGTGTTAAACTAAACACCACGCGGCGAGACAGCTTTGCAGCATTACCTTAGATGTCGTCATCAATAAAATGTCATCTTATAATTTAAGAGTGCTACAATGCGGCTACAAGGTTCTCATTGCTTCCTAGATCAAACCGTCTTGTCCAACGTGACGCGGACTCCTCACCCAGGAATGAGCCGGATGGTGTGGATCGTCCCCCTGGTGGTGGTGTCTGCTCTCACTCTGCTCTGCCTCGTCATGCTGCTGATCGTGATGGTCTACTGGAGGTGAGGCGCGGTTCAATAAGCATTGCCTAACTGCATCGCAAGGGCCCAGTGATTCTGAGAAGAGTGTTTGTTCAAAGACGTGCACGTCAGTGATCAAGTGCTTTTACGACACTTGTCTCGATTTGATGGAAGTCTGACACCTTCTTCGGAGGTATGAAAGACCGATCGGCCCCTCACCCACACTGCCTCCACTGTCCTTTCGCACAATATGCAGAGTGACAGCCCCTCATGCACTCCTGAGTTTTTTCCAATCAGCACAGCGCAGTCTGGGCGTGTTCTTTTAAAAGGGACATGCATCAATCTTGTGGCTGAAAACACCCCACTACTGCCTTCGCCTTCCACACACACACAGCACCGTCACCCAACTGGGTGAAAGGGAAAGAGACCTGAAGGCCCCACAGCTCCAGCCCAGGTCCCAGCTGTGTCTTCATCTGCTGGGCTAATTTCCAGCCATGCCATTGGAGCTCCAGTAATTACACAGGCCAGGCCACTAGCACATGTCGGATGGTGGTTAATGAGAAACAAATAGCGCTGCGGACCACTTCCTCAGTCGGTGCCAGACATATTTACTGCTGCTACTTTGTGGAGGATTATATTTGTTTCTACTCTCTTTTCTTTTTATGGATAGAACTGCTCTGTTAGATTACTACACCAAATGTTTATAACACCTTACTGTGGCAGATAATAAAGTTGTGATATAAATAAAAGCCCAGCTATCAGCTCCAGGGAGGTGCAAAAAAAGGAAAAAAAAAAAAGAAGAAGAAGCGACAGCTGGAAAGGAGGCGACTGTGGCGGATTCAGTCGGTGGATGAATTAGTGTGAGTTGTGGTATTTGAGTAGAAACGCAGGGGCAGCTTTGAGATTACAGCAGCTGTTGTTGTGACAACTCCGACAGTTCATAGACAATGGCTGCTTCCCCTGGGGAAAAGGCCATGATGGAGGATAAAATTCACACTCTCTTAACTCTTCATCTTCAGTGTAGCCTCTTGGTGATGAAGCGCAGATTAAAGCTAAAGTTACTCAGATTACAGAAACTTCTGACGTTTTTTTTTTTTGTGTGTGTGTGTGTGTGTTTTTGCACAAATGCAAAAACAATTATTTGGAAACTCTGATAAATAAGCACTTCTGTGGATAAGTCTTCACCCCCTGCAGGTTTGTTCTGAAAAGCAAAATTCCCTTGTTTGAGATTTTCAAACTATTTTTAATATTGGACAATGATAACCTGAGTAAATACAAATTGCAGTTTTCAAAGGGTTTCATTTAATAAGCACATAAAACCTAATCTAATCTAGTAATTACCCCTGAACCTAATAACTGGTTGTGCCACACTTGGTGACAACAGCTGCTATTAAGTATTCACGATAATTGGTAATTAGTTGTTTACTTCCCCTGTGAAGAAAAATGTCCAGACTTTTAAGCATTTTGAAACCCTAACAGACTGTTTAAGGGCCCAGCATCCCAATCAAATTTAAGTCTGGGCTTGGACTAGGCCAATCCTATTTCAATTTGCCTTTCTTTTGGAATTTTTAAGCAATTTGGAGGTGGACATGCTGGCACGCTTTTGTATATTTGTGCTGCCGCTATAACTCAAGTGCACTTCAGCTTAAAGTCACAAACTGATGCTTCAGAATTAGAAATACTTTATTAATCCCTTTGCGAAAAATCCTCGTTTTAGTTGGACATCCTCCCTCAGGATTTCAGGATTTTCTGCCATAGAGCAGAATTCCTGGCTCCATCAATTACGGCCAGTCATCCGGGTCCCAAAGCAGCAATCCAGCTTTAAGACTTTTACCTTACCTGAATTTTAGAGCAGATATAACCGGAAAACATTCTGCTCCATTATAAATGAAACCGTCATTTCAAAAAATAAAAAAATGATGTATTTCCTCAGGTCTTCCTTGTCTCATATAAAAATTTGTTTGATGATGAATGCGTCACAGCAAAAACCTGAAGCAGTCTGTGAGGGGAGCCACTTTTTCACAGCACAGACACTAGGGACATGTAACAGCGTTGTCTTATTTTTAATTTAGCTCTCTTCAGTCAGTCTTAGGTTATAGACCTATCCACAGTGGAATTAATTGCTGAGGTTAGGATGCACATCTGGAAGCTTCTGGTGCTTGAGGTGCCTGTAGAAGATTCTGACATATGTCGAAACGAGAACAAATCCCAGCCCTTGTTAGCACCTCGCCGCGACTGATGCCTTTGCTGCGCGGAGGGCCTCTGTGTAATCCCAGTTCCTGCTCCGTCTAAGTCAACTCCTCAGCAGCTCTGGGAGCCAGTCAGTCAGGAGATGTTGACAATGCTGCTTAGGTAGCTGGACCACATCTGCACTCCAAGGGAGCTATTAAACGGGGAGGCAGTGACGCAAATCTGCGAAAACTCTCGTCCCCCATTTGTTTCTCCTCTTTCCCCTCCTCTTTTTCCCCCTCCATCATCTGAACACCAGGGCGCCTTTTTTTTTTTTTGGGGTTTTTTTGTTTCTTCTTTCCTTAACGATGACAAGCATCTGCTCCCTCCTCTACTCCAAGTCCAGGTAGGATTAATTTATGGGAAATACTGGCAGAAAATCTTAGGACTTTTGTGAATTTATTGATATACGTTATGTGTTATATGAAACTGTGGGTCTGCACGGTGTGCAGGACTTAAATTATTCCCCTTTCACTGTTTTCAGTCTTGTTAGAATTGTAGATTTTTTTTTTCCTCTGGTCTCCTATGGTGGAGAAGGCTGCCTTGAATATTGAATATATTAACCCTAAAAATTGCCCTTTCAGAGAGCTGAAACATCAGCTGCTAAATAATGTAGGCTTTCTTAAAAGATCACGACTTATGGCAGTTTTTCATTTTGCAAACTTTTAACCTTGGATTGTTTAAGATGTTTCTTTAAAAAAAAAAAGAAAGTTTTGAAGGCTCTGTTTATCTGACAAATAGGATTTGGATTCCAAAATAATGCGCCTTGTGGTGGAAAACTACTATTAGTTAACATCTGCTGATCATGTTATATGAAATGCTTGTGAACTCTCTCTCACCAAAAGAACTATTTTGGTCACATGTACAAGTTTGAAAGTTGTTTCTCACAGCTGCATGAGAACCAGACTGTCTCACCCTTTTGTTTTGAATTCTTCATCCTTGGTATAAAACTCATGTGTTGTCTCTGCCTGGCAGAGCTTTTTCCATCCAGAGCTGCTTCATTATTGATTGTCCTCTGAGTTGTGCACAATTCATAAATAAACCTGACTGAGTGATTTTACCTGAACAGTGCTTGGTAATATATATATTTTTTTTCCACAACAACCTCGACGTTGATTTAATTATTGTCAAGAGTGAAATGTATATTTGAGGCTTCAGTGTACGTAGTTTAACCCATCTGCGCTGTGTGCGATCAGCCATGTCACAGCTACTCCTGGGTTTTCATTAGCACCTGTCACTGCCTTCAACATTTCTATGCTAATGTCGGCAGAGCACATCTGAGGATAGCTTCCTAATACACTTTAAAGCATCATTTGTGATGATGGTGTGGATTTACTTTGCTGTGGTTACGAGTCTTATCTCTCTGTGGCCCTGCAGGAGATTTTTCCAGACGGCTCATTTCTATGTGGAGGAGAGCAGCTCTCCACGGGTGGTGGCCAATGAGAATATCCCAATCATCCCTATACCAGGTAAGACATGTTTTTTTTTTTTTGTTTTTCCCCTTCAAAATATGGTAAAGTAATTCAAGTTTTTTTTTTTTTTTTTAGATATTTCCGAAGCAAGTATACTAGAGGAATGCTAATATAAAAATAATGGATTAAACCAAGGTGCAGAAAGGTTTCTATGCAGACTTAGAACAAATAAATAAAAAGCATGGAAAGGCATAGAATTTGCTTTTGACATTATCTAACCCTGAAGACATATGGAAAATAATATATCTATACACATATATATAAAGCTTCAAAATCTGACTTTCTATAAATTAACTGCCTTATGTTAAGGCAAAACATTTCTGTTTGCAATCTAAGTGCAGCTGCTTCTCCTGTGATAACTTTTGATTACGTCTGTTTTTTGTTTTTTTCCTCATGAGTCGACTCGATATTTTGAGAAATATATATGTAGCATAAAGAATAACAGGATAAAACAATAACCGCTAGAAGACAGGTTTGAGATATCAAACTTTTTTATTGACCTAATCCAACCTGACAACTATTATCACAACAGACAACCTTGAATTGTCTTGAAATAACATAACAGTTGTCAAAGCTTGAAATGCTGATTTATTATATCTATCATATTAGAATTATGAAATCTATGTCATTATTGGCATATTGCAAAACAGCAACTATTAGCTGCTACATTCAGGCCAACAGTCTCTCAAGAAGGTAAAGTAATTAAAATGTACTTTAACACTGAGATCTCAGTATTTTGAGATGATGGGAAAATAGAATCACTTAATATCACACTTGAGATCATTTTTATATCATTTTGAGAAAATGATATAATAAAAAAGTAGCCGTGACACGATGAGCTCAAAACTGAGGTTATTTCTAGTTATTAGTGTGAGCAAATTGTGTCTACATAATTCATAAGAATTAAATCAGGTTTTTGACCCACTTACTGAAAACTTGCACTTATTCAAGGTTTGACTGAGGGATTAAGGCATGCTTTTATTTATTTATTTTTTATTTTTTTTGTACGGGAAGCTTTTAATGCCTAAAACACATTGACGCTAAACTGCAAAAAAAAAAAAAAAAAATAGCACACATCACATTAGCCATTTAAATGTGCCTGAAAATGTTATGAGTTATTTGAAACCTTGAATCTAGAAATTCCCATTTTTGTATTAGGAATGAGTGTAATGCGCCAGCTGTAATACCTCCAGTTTTGAGAGTATGCGAAATATTCAAATAATTGTTGGTGAAATGACTAACGGTAATTTTTTATAAGCTGGTAAAAGGGAACTACACATGAGAAAAATAAGTAAGGGAGTTAGCTGTGTTCGAATCAGCTGAATGAAATCGAATGTTTCCTTTCATCTTTTAACCCATAGGGAGTGCCGTGAACTTAAGATGTCCCACGGGAGTCTTGACTCACTTTTTTTTTTTTTTAAATCCCCATCAAGCTGATAAAGGCAGACCTCTCCACTGTCTCATTAACGGTTTATAAAGGGCTTCATGTATTACCTTGACACCTTCGTTTGCAGAGTTTCTGTTCATTTACATGTGAAGTGACTCTTTACGCAGCTTAATAGAAGTTGAGTGACTGGCTTTTCTTTGCACTTAATATCCCGTGCTGAGGTGCGGTGGCAGCTTGTCGATATCAGACTTTACTTTCCCAGTCTCTTAAAGCTCAGGGACATTCCAGGGCAGTGATAGCAGAGCTAGAGCACAGCTTATGCCAGCATTTACTTTGTTCTACTGATTATCCTTTGGTTTAACTCTGAATTTCTTTGCTCTGTTTGTGTACATTTATTTTATTTTCAAGTTTAACCATAAATGTCACGATCCACGAGACAAGTTCTAAATGCCGAGATCAGCCATGAAGTCTTGACAGTTTCTCTACATCAGAGCCATTTTGATGAATGGCCAGAATAATAAATCAGAACTCACCTTTTAACGCTGCGACCAGTGAAGCACGTGAGGGCCCCACAGGCCTCAGCTGGGAGGGTGTGTTAGTTAAGACATTGGCTCGACTCAGCAGCCATGACAGCTGAGTCCCCCCGCGCTGTTCTGTGCAACGCCGGCCGGCCTCATCGCAGATCCCTCATGTGTGATTTGGCGCTGATTTGGCTCAGATGAAACAGATGCTCCCAAAACCGGACATAGGTGTTTGTGGGGTTATGCTGCCAAATGAAATGATGGTTCCTCATTAAAAAAAAAAAAAAAAACTCTTACTGAGTAGTTTAACATAGCTGGTCAATTTCAATATTTGAGTAAATTAAAAGATTGATGCCTGTTTTCTAAAAATCTGTTCCTGATTGTGGTAAACATGTAACGGGCTGAATGTGTTGCACGTCTCCCCTGCAGATGATATGGACGCCATTCCTGTCAAGCAGTTTGTTAAACACGTCATGGAACTTTACAAAAGCAACATGCAAGGTTTTGCGGAGGAGTTTGAGGTAAATTTTCACACTTCATCAATGTTGTCATGGCTATTTACTTTAACCATTATTTCACACAGTAGCGTATTTTCAGATGATGCAAATAGGGCCTTTTCAGATACCAAACTGGGCCTCCTAGATTTTTTCTTCACAATTTGTCACATTGCAACCTAAGAAATCAATGTATCTTATTGAGATTTTACAATGCAAGCACAGCTTTCGTTCACAAATTCTGTATTGTCAAAAAACACACCAGATCACACTCACCACCACCAAAGCCTCATCTTTATCTGGCTGCTGCATGATATTTTCCTTAACGTCTCTAACATCATCAGCGGCCATCGTCTCTGCTCAACGTGAATCGATTTTTATCAGAGGACAGCATAGATGCCCATGCAAGGCGATGACGCCTGTGCCAAATGGTGTGATTGGGTACCCTGGCAGGTCATCTAGCACAGCGACCACAGTGATGTAAATGGTTCGGGAAGGGCTGTTGCAACATTTTGGTGCCTCTCACTTCAATAAAATATGTCAAGAGTTGAGTGGCATTAATCTTCCGCTGACGATGAAACGGTCATCTGTTCCGTCCAGGCCTGCTTTATTTCTGTTGCAACCTGAGAACGTCCTGTTTGAATCCTCGCTTTGGTGAGGTACAGTTAATTAGTTGTTAGGTTCATCTTCTCTGGATGTCAAAACATGAGCAGCATGATGAGGATCATGCTGATTCATGGATCGAATACCTGTTGTGAATTCTGTTATGGGGATTATCATATTAGGTTCACGTGTAAAAGTTGTGCTGCATTTTAGATTCATCCTCAAATTTCACCTGCTATACACCTAACTTTTTGTGAGCCGTATAAATATGTTTTATCTAAACCCTTTTGTTGTTGCTCTGGCTGTTTTTTAGGGTTGCCATCCAGCTGGAAGCTGAGCCTCTGCTCTCTTCTGAGATATTTTATTGAATAGGTTTTCTTCCATGATTGCACTGTAATTTGCACTGCGACTTTTTAAGACTTTTCTTTTCACACTGGCTATCTTCTTTCTTGCCTCTCTGCCATGAAAGCAATATTTATAGAGAGCAAGACAAGTAAGTTGTCCTCTTCCCACCTCAGCAGCTCCTCCAGAGTTACCACCTTCTTCTCTAACCCATCCTTCCATTTCCCAGCTGCTTTAATAGAGAGACTAAAACACACACAAATGGACTCGGTTTTCTTGTTAGCTGACAATTGGTTACACTGGTTTGGGTTTTTGTCTGACAAACTGCGGAGTACAGATTGTGTTTGTGATTTTTTTTTTTTTTTCAAGCTCTGCAAACCAGGTTGCATGTGAACAACAGCTAGAAATTGCTGGATTCCTGTGTTTGTATGTGGAGTCACAAAATTTGACCAGATGGTCTGGAGAAAGATGGAGAGAGCGATCAGAGGGATGGAGGTTAATTAGAGAAGGCTCTTTCTGCTGGTTCTCTGGATGGGAACACATTTTTTTTTCTGTGTAACTAGGTTAAGAAAGAAGGCAAAAGCTTCGCCCCCAGAGTATTCCCTCTAATTGGGGTCAGGCGGTGTGAGGCTGGTGTGCATGGTTTCTAAATGCACCAGGATGGAGCCCTGTTTGGAAGTGACTGTATTTTGTGGGTGGGTGATCACACCACGGTGTAGTAGGGGGGAAAATAAGGAACTCTTGCTCTGCTGAAGCGTCTTTGACCATGAAGGCACTGAACTCCTGGAATCTCATTTATGTATGCAAAGCATTTGGGGGCATAATGTCGTCTTTCAAAAGACCAAGAACAGTAACGCAGCAGTCCCTGTTCTTACCAGGCAGTCTTTACAGTTTATTGGAAGCCTAGCAAGCTAATACTATTAGCTCCTCTCTTCTTGCTTAATAAAATCCATTTCTGTCTATTTTTTTCCTCTCCCCAGGAGGTCCAGCGCTCCACAGTCGACTTAAAAATCACCGCAGAACATTCCAATCATCCTGACAACAAGCACAAAAACAGATACATCAACATTGTAGCCTGTGAGTCGGCTGTGAAATCTGATTAGAACGTCTGCCGCTGTGGGATTCAATAATGTTTTTATACCAGGTTTTCATCCTCTTCATAATGAAAAATAAAAACGTCCATGCATCCTTCTTACTTTCTTCAGATGACCACAGCAGGGTGAAATTGCGAGCTTTGGCAGGAAAAGATGCCAAACATTCGGATTACATCAACGCCAACTATGTGGATGTGAGTTTGATTTTTTTTTTTTTTTTTCATTTCACTCATGGCTACTTTAGATTTTTTTTAAATTTTTATATATATATATTAATGCAAGTTTCAGTTTGGTTATCAGAGCATGAGCTGTGAAAGAATCATTGCCACTGCCGAACTCCATGTGGCGGTTTTATTCAGGATATCAAGCAACGTGTCAGAGCCGCAAAATTGTATCCGGCTTGTATTTCGGATATCAAATCGGCCACGTATTTCTTATAGTTCGTGGGAATAATGTATTATAAGGATTGCATCTTATCAGCAAATAATCCCATTTCAGGGCTACAACCGTCCCAGGGCTTATATCGCTGCTCAGGGTCCTCTCAAGTCGACGTTCGAGGACTTCTGGAGGATGGTGTGGGAGCAGAACACAGGAATCATTGTCATGATCACCAACCTGGTGGAAAAAGGGAGGGTAAGGTCACCCCATCCGCTCCCACGCCAGAGAGACGTCCTGGCTCTCAGACGTGCAACGCTCACGCTGCTGTTTGGCTCTCGTGTTTTTTTTGTTTTTTTGTTTTTTTCCAGAGGAAATGCGACCAGTACTGGCCAACGGAGAGCAGCGAGCAGTACGGAAACATCGTGGTGACGCTGAAGAGCACTAAAGTGCACGCCTGCTATACTCTGCGCCGGTTTCTCATAAGGAATACGAAAGTTAAAAAGGTAACTCGGTGCAGAACGAAACATGTAACCTTTCTGTCGCCAAAGATTTAAGTGTTCTTTTTTTTTTTCCTTAGAAGACTGATAGAGATGCATAAATGTCTTGAATGCAAAGGTTATCTGTTATTCAATTCATAAGAAATGGCAGTATTTCCTCTTTTATTGCTGCAATTAACTATCTATACTATTCTATTGAATTTATTTGTTAAATTGCTTTTCTGCCTTTTTAATTTTTTTTAAATTGTTCATTGAATTCTGCAGATTTTACTTTTTTAAAATGTATTCCTTTTTTAATGCATTATTTTATAAATGTATCTAAATCTATATTCAAAGGCAACTGTTTAAATTCTTTTTATTTCTCCGCGCACCCCGCCCCGCCTGCCCTCGCCTGGATTCTTTTAGCTGATGACTGCTTTGCGTCTCTCTTTTACATTTCTGTATGATTTATCGCTGCTCGTCTATCCCTCAGCCTCAGAGTGCACAGATAAATACAGAAGGAAGGCTTTATCTAATTATTTCTGAAGCTTTTGTTGGCTTATTGGTTGAAGTGCTATTTATACATCTCTGCCTGTCTTACTTCTGCCAAGGAGGTGCTTTGTTCTGTTTTTGTTTGCCGAGTTGTTTAAAAGATGAGGAAACACTGTGCATGAAAATGTGACTAGCGGTGGGACACACTACATCAGGAGTGATCCATTTTTTTCATTTTTTATTTTTTTTTTACCTGAACTTTTTCTTCGAGTTCAGATTTGATCCATCTATGTTTATTTTTTGACTATTTAGTTTTGCGGACATAATCCATTCCTCCATCTATCCATTCATGCGTCATTCTATTAATTTGTTCATCCATTTGTCCTCCCGTGCATTCATCTGTCTGTCCATCCGTTCAAACTGCTGTCTATTCATCCATGCATCCATTCATTACAGCTCTGAGGGCATTATTAGCAGACACAGATTGCATGAACTTTACCACCACAATGCGCGATCATAATAAGCAGATTAAACTATTCCTATTTAGCTAAATATGTTAATAATAAAAATAAATATTATTATTATTATTATTATTAAACTATTCTGGCTCCATTCAGGCTGTTTAACTCGCATGTTTTCATACTTCAGGGTCAGAAGGGGAACCAGAAAGGGAAGCTTAATGAACGCATCGTGATCCAGTATCACTACACTCAGTGGCCTGACATGGGAGTACCGGAGTACACCCTCCCTGTCCTCACTTTCATCAACCGCTCCTCAGCGGCTCGTACTGCAGACATGGGTCCCGTCCTGGTGCACTGCAGGTACAGCCTCAGCGCCGAGCTCCAGGGCTGATCGAGCGATCCAGATGGGCAGTCAGACCCATTAATGATGATTTGCTTTTTCATCGCTCCCTCTGAACGTCCACTCACACCACTTTGCGCTCTGCTCTTCAGTGCAGGGGTCGGGCGCACGGGAACGTACATCGTCATCGACAGCATGCTGCAACAAATCAAGGACAAAAGCACAGCCAGTGTCCTGGATTTTCTCAAACATATACGCACACAACGCAACTACCTTGTCCAGACCGAGGTAAGGTGGCCGGACTTGTCTGAGAAGTCTGGAAAACCGGATTTCTCCCCTTTAAAGGTCAGCTGTGATTTAAGATGGGAGAGCAGTTATGAAGTTTATTCAGTTTGATACTCAGAGCTCAGGTAAAGGTCACGCTCGCTGCAATTTTCAGTGCACTGCAGAGTTCAAGCGTTTACACACTCGCCATAATACCGATGGCCGTATTACACCGGAGGAGGCCCACTCTGGCTCTTCTCGGGCTGAACGCTGCACTCCTCAAATCATGGACTCTTACAGCTTGAGCAAAATGGAAGACGGGCTGCAGGAAAAAAAAATAAATAAATAAAACAGCACACCGTAAATCCACAATATGCATTTACACTGATTGATCTGAAATTTTCTTTTAATATTTTTTTTTCTATATGTGTAGAGAAATGTAAATCTTAAAGTCTAAAAAATTTGTATTGTTTCATTTTCCTCTCCAAAAAATGTCTAGAAGGTCTTCACAACTGTCTCGTGATTCATATGAAGCCTTTTAAATATTTTATCACCCCAACTGTACAATTACCCCTTATAAATGACAATGAAGCAGTCAATAATAAAGCTGTGAAAATATATTAGCTCTTCACGTATCTCAGAGAGGATGACGGGTTCAAGTGACCAGTAATTTCAACATTAACTTCCTTTAATAGCCTTTTTAACTACGTCCTTTTTTTATATAACATCCCGTAGCTGTACGGTAACTTGCCTGTTTTTTTCTTCTTGCTCGTGGTTTTTTGTTTAGTGTTTGCTTTTGTTTTGTTTGTTTTGATGCTTTGAGCAAAAAGGCCCAATAATTGACAGAGAAAAAATAAACTTTGAGTCTAGCGTACTCACCAATTCATATCTGCTTCAGTCTGATTTCTGTTGAAGTTTTGGGGGGGGGTTAGGAGTTAGTCGATGTGTACGTGGCTTTCTGGACCTCAACTTTTCTATTGGCTCTAAAAACGCAATATTTTTTTGTGCTCATTCAGCTGTTAAGGTTTTGTTCCAAAGCTTTGGTAAAGGTGCGTCCCCAGAACCCAATCCTACTAGCCGTGCGGTCTGGGATACGCACGTCTCTGGAGCTTAGACTGCGATAGAAACCAGTGAAATGAAACCGAAACAGCAATAACACCGTCTCGTTGTTTTCATAGCAGTTAAAAGCCACTCCAAACTCAGGTGCAGGTCGAGTTGATTTAAAATGAACTGTGCCGATCCAAATTTGGATTACAACTTGTCATCTAAAGGGATTATTTATTGCATTTTTTCATAGCTGCTAAACTCTGAAACTGCATTGAAACCGCTTCTACTTTTCAGGCAGTTTGTAACAATCCACAGAGGTTTAATTGTTAAACCCTGTAAGATCTCTCTTGTTGTAACAACACAGCAGCTTATGCAGCAGTCATTCAAACTAAAATCGATGATTAACAACCCTGAGTAGTTGTGGTTGCTTTAGTTTGTATCTTAGGCCAGAAACAGAAAGTATGTGTTCAAACTTTACTAGTTAGAATCTCCTGAAAATGCTGTAATAAGAGCGTTTCTGTATCTACAGAGACCCTTGAAAGCAAAAGTGCACGCTTTCCATTAGTTTGGTGGATTTTTTTTTGTTTTTTTTTTTCGATTGTGAAACACTGATATTCAGCACGGGTGGCTGGTTTTAGATGATGTGTTGGCAAAACAAAACAAAAAACTGAACTCTGGTCATGCAATTTAAAGTAAACACAAAATATGACTTGCACAGGAGGATAAACTGGATGAAGAAAAACGCTGGAAATATTGAACTAACGAAACATCTTCAGCCTCCTTCACATGAGAAAAATCCACCTTTAGTTAACAGTTCACCAAAAACACTCTAACTTCCTGTTTTTGGATAGATTTTCAACCTACATTTGTCCCAGAGGCAAAAAAAAAAAAAAAAAAAAAACTATTTTTCTAGAATCCTAGAATGATGTTTTTTTTTTTTT